TGGCTGCCCCACCAAGGAGGTCAATGTGAAGCCTTTGGCAACACAACTTGAGACTACACGACATGAGAAAAGACAAATGTCAAAGCAGATCTCTCCTCCAAAATGCTGCGAAGATGAAGACAGCAGGGGAAGTATAATGCAACCTCCTCCTCCACTCCTTTTACATTGTGGAAGCTTCAAAAGGCAGATCTTACACAGCGAAGGAAGACAGCATGAGAGTACCTCTGACAGGATCTTTGTAAAGGGGTGTATCGGCTTCAACTCACATTTCCATCCGAGACACCCGAACAGCTCTGATCCCTGTTGTTCCTCTTCTCCCAAAAGCTGAATCTCCAGCTCTTCACTGCTGTGGGGTGAATGCCCACCCATCACTTGATCTCCCAGTCTGTCTGCAGGCATCACCAGAGCCACATACAGGTTTGTCTAACTTTGATGGCTGCTTTGGTAACCATTAAAGACATATCTGGCTTGGTTTTGAATTGCAGTGCAATACTAGAGTGATGGACACAAAGAAATGACACTGGCTTGGCAAACTCTTCTCGACTGCAATATTGTTTAGGAATGCTTCCCTTTAGCTGCTAAACTGAGGCATGAAAAGGAAAAAAACCTGCATAAACACTGAAAAATGATAGCAGGAAGAGTTTCTATTAGTCATTTTGGCACTTAAAATTTTGTTTTCAGCAGTTAGCTTAGAGCACCTTTCTCTTCTTTTCTGTCTCTAGTACAATAAAGGTGCTCCTTCCCATATGTGGGTAGTCCAAGACTGGAATATCATTTTGTTACAGGTTACAAAGATGTCAATAGTTGCAAATTTTTCTGCCTTTGTTTAGTATTATTATTTTTGATCTGCAAAGTTTTTATGAATGGAACAAACAGACCCAAATCTTTTTTTTTTTAAGTCATGCACACAGCTTATGATTCACCGGCTGACATTTGTTGTATGTGTTCTTGGCTTTTTTCTACCATATGGTTGAAAGAGAAATTGCATATATGACATAAAAGAGCTTTCTCTTTGCTCTTTATGCTTGTAATGTTGTTAGTTAGATTTGCATGCTTTGACTTGTTGGGAAGATTCATTGCTGGCAGAGCAATGAGGTCTGGACAGTTGGCAGGTCAGAACATTTATTAGTGTGATTGTACTTAAAACGTTTGGCTCCATGGTAGAGAAGATCCCTCTGAAACAAATGTGGAGACTAGGAAATTAATTATTAAGGAGGATGTTGCAAAAACATACATCAATACTGTTCGATATGTGGTTGGAAGGTAGTTGAAACAAATTATGGAGACTCTGACTTAAAAGGAGAGGGAGTCTGATGAACGCACACTATAATTCCTGACAGCACCAACT